GGGCTAGGTAGTCCTCGAAAAGCTGGCGGTGGTCCCGGAAGTCGGCACAAATTTTGCGCTCGTCGAAGTCCGACTGGTCGTAGAAGGTGTCACCCAGCGTCTTCAGAAAATTACTGAGGTCAGCGTTTGTAGGGGTACGGTTGTCGGCTGCGGCTGAATCGGAGATGGGCGTACAACTTGTAGATGGGTAAAATCGCTCAAAGAGAGCAAGGTGTCCGTGAACTGGGCTGCCGCGGGGTGCGTTCGTAGACGTGGCGAGATGACGGTAATATCCGGGGCATGGGACGATAGGAAGGCAATAAAGGCGCCTATAAGGTTCTTACCTGTGCTAAACGCTGCCTGTATAGCGAGCTGGTTGGAAGATCCAAAGCGCACAGCCTCCTTCTGATCCGGTGTGAGGACTATTATTTGTTGATAGACCGAGGAAGTCCAATCTACATGGGGTGGATTCGCAGGGTCGCGTAAGCGCAGGGGCTGGTCTGTACCCGACCATGGGCAGCCGAAGATGAGGTCTACAACCTGGTGGCTGACCGAGTCTGCTCGCAAGTTGTCGAACATGGAGGAACGAGACCCTAACTCATATACTGGATCTGAGGCAGCCGAGGTCTTGACCAGGAGTGCGCAGATGCCAGCGGTGTGTCCGATGCCGATATCTGTACCGTGAGCGGCAAGCGCGCGCTATAGAGCCAGATTCGTCCAGCGGAAAGCCTTGACGGGGACGTCCAGTCTGCGGCAGGAGAATCGGGTTCGACGTGTATGACATTAACTCGAATTAGATAATTTGAGCCTACTACCCAAATCACTGCATGGTGGCCAGGACCACATCCTGCCTCTGAAGGCATTTCGTGGACGTGGAACGTAAAGGCACTGTTCACGAAAAAATGGTTCCGTAGATTTGCACATGGTTTGANGGGCCGGAGAGTTATCCACGGTCGCCCTCCGCCCCTCGCTAGGCTGACTACGAAATCTAATTGTCGTTCACCATTTTCGCTTTCGAAGTTGGTGAAGAATCGGTGAAGAATTGCCAGGTTCAAGACTGTAGTCTGAATCAGCTGTTTGGGTGTGTTGTCTGCTATTGCAGACATTGCGTGGCCTTCGTGCACTGACCCAAAAACTCCCTAACCGCCGTTCTTTCAATGTGAAACTCGTCCTACCCCCCTTTCCAGCTCTTTTTGTCCCTTTGTAACTCTTTTTGCTCATC